CGAAGCTGGCATTAAATCATTTGATAGCCTTAGCTATAATTATATTATTTGACTTTTTGCCTATTGGTAACAAACCTGTTAGCTATTATATAGGCTACTGTTTGATTTAGTATAAATTTGGTCTGAGAGCTGCATGGAATCAGATTTTATTTACTTTTAGAATCAACCTTACCTAAAAGTTCACTTTGCTGCAGAGGCAAGAGGTGAGTTTTCTCAGAGAGGTCAAAGGTTCCCCTGGTTCCTTGTGCTTTTACAGACATGCTGCCTTTCTCTTCCTGGGAGCAGCAGAACTGTGGTGTTTTGGTCTGGTTTTTCTCTTTCATGGTGAAGCTTGTCTGTCTCTGAAACACTTTTGGATTCGCTCTACTTTGTCTGAGTGAGAGTTTGGATAACATGTTTTTTGTTGTAAGAATGAATGAGCCAGTGTAGAACTGTTACATCACTCACTTGTCATCGTATATTGTTCTCATCGTTTTTATTACGTGAAAAATTGCCCCATTATTATTATGAATAGTGCGCAACCTAAATAAAAACAGCCTTTATTTATTTCCCTCTTGTTTTGTTTTTTTCACAGCTTCAGAGAGACACATGTGGCTCCAGAGCCTTGTTTTGCGGACCCCACAACTTAGGGCCATAAAGGTGAGATTTACTGCACAATAATTTCATTTTATATCATGTGAAGAAGCATACTGTATATTTATTTGGGTATTGTGTGCAGCAGGAGCTCGTGGTGATTTTCACAGACAGGCAAGCACTAGCTGAGAACTGCTATTACAGAGCTTCTCCTGTGCAGTGGTGAAGTAAATGCTCTGGGCAAGAACACTTCCCTGTTCTGGTCCTTGTGATGGCAGAACTGAAAATATAGCTTAGAAAGATTTTTTCCACTGCACGTACCACATTTCAAAAAGTTTGATTATTCATTGTTTGTTTAATATTTTTCTCTCTGCCACAACTGATATATTTAAGAAATTAGTTACGCTGTGGGTTTCTTCAAAGCCAATAACTCAGATGTAGAAAGAGAATATTTTTCACCAACGACATTACCAAATGGAATTCAATCAGTACTCCAAACTCCTGTTACAGTATTCATCTTATATACAGCAGACTGTGGAGTCATGGCAATAGTCAATAGAGCTATACTTAAGATCGGAGGTGTGCAGGGTTGAATGGGGAAGGAGACGCCCCCCGCTGACTACTCAATTGCACAAACATTCTCTCTGTCAGGCAAAAACATGCCGTTTCTCTCAGCGGTGTCTGGATGGTGTTGAATGCTTTGTGAAATGAAGAAACACAATCCTGGCAGTGTCACTGATTCCATTCATTTGGAAGTTCTTTACACCAGGTAAACTATGACATTCTAGCCTCCAAATTTAGACAAAGAAAAATTGTTTTGGAACATGCCACGATGGCAATTGTTGATGGTTGACATGACGCAGAACGACATTGACTCTTTGAGAACGGGGACTGGGTAAATTGTTGTTCTGAACTGTTGTCTAAAGTTTTTTTCCTTTTACAACTGATTGTCACAGTTAGTCACTGGAAGCAGCGTGTTTATCATAAGGCTTTGTGCTGAAGGTGGTAATGGAAAACAGGTGAAGGCTGTGAACTGTGAAGAAGAAGAAGCCTCTTCATGGGGCCCACTCATATTACTCTGCCTCTTCCTACCTTTTGTAAACTCCACTCACAGACACTGTCCTTGGACTCTGTGCCTGCATTTTGTCTGCTTATTCGGCCCTGAACTGATGATTTCTTAATCTGCATAATCATTCTGTTGGCATTATAAAGTCACTTGATGTCACCGCTGTTATGTTGAAATGCCTTATTTTTTGTTTGAGGTCAAGACGTTTTGACCTTTAACACGGCACAATAAGCTATCTTCATTGAAGGAGTTTTTTTTTCCTGAGGCTTAGTGAAAAGTCTGAACTTTAAATAAAGGAGTAAAAAGTGTCTGTCAGAAGTGTTAGACCTATAGTTATAACATTTTAATATTTTTAGTATAAATCTTCACAGCACTAAGTTAGAGTGAGATTTTGGTTTGACAGTGTGCTGCAAAGGTGGAAAAAACAAGAGAGGGAGGGAGAGAAGCAACATATCATTGTGCCTGATATTGTTTTCTTCAAATCAAAGGCAATAAATTATAAGTTGGAGGTGAGAAAAGCCAGAACACGGCAGGTGTATGCGCATAAAATAAACCAAAACACAGCTTTTGTTGTTGCTTTAGAGAATAAATCAAAGCAGGAACAAAAGGGTTGACTACTCTTAACTACCACCGTTATATGCAGAAAATCAGCCTGGCGCTGGTGCTAACTCCTGAAGGAAGTGATTTAAAGGTGTCTACATGAAGAAGGAAAAATGAGTAACTTAAAAAACACACAACAAAGGTATCTTGTACCTTTAAAAAAGGATCAAAAACCCTCTCTTAGGCCTCAATGACACAAATCATCATTCACCAAAGTTTCTGAAAAACCTAATAACCCTGAGCTTAGGTGTCTCTTCCGAATCCTGGGTAATTGCTGCACCAATTTTATTATCAGGATGTTTTTCCGGCCAGTAACTGGCAAAGACTTGGTTGTACTAGTTTGAAAAGAACAGTTTGAATACTTAGATGAGAGGGTGAGAGGTCTGCAGCTCTTACTTCAGCGGGACTTTTGCGTGGAGTTTGAGTTTATTCCTATGTGGGAAGGTTTTATCTTCAGGTACTCTTTGTTAGAGCAATGATGTCAAAGTGGAGCAATGTTTTTCACTGTATGTTGGCCTTACCACGAACACAACAAGAGCAGCAGTGACGTTCATAAGCTGCAAAATAGCAAAGAAAAGAAGAAGAAGAAAAAAAACCAACCTAAAACTGAAAAGGAGAAGCAAGATGGAGAGGAACTAACAAAGAACATAGCAAACAGGAAAGGAAGTGTGTCCTGTCTCTGGAGGAAGCAGATGCCAGTATTAAAAATTATTATCTATTTGTTAAAGAGCCACCACAAAAAAGCGCAGAGGCGATTATTTAGACATTCATTATTCAAATTAATTATCTGTTCCTTTTAGGACAAGTGTAACAAATGTTTTGTTACTAAACGCTCCGCAAGAGAAGACAAAATTCAGCTGCAGTAAATGAAATTTTGTCCGAGTTACTGTATCTTCCAGTAAAACTGCACATATATTTAGCACCTGTGATTGAATGCCTGTAAAACAGAGGAGCAGTGCAACATGACTGATGTGAAATTACAAATAGAAACAGATTTTTAGCAATTTAAGATGAAATAGACTTGGTGGCATTGCCTTGTTATGATTTGAATTGTTATTGCGCAGCTTTATCCCAGTAGAAAACTAATATAAATGTATTAGACCTTAGTGTTATTAGTTCAACGTTCTTCCCGCTGTTCTGTTGATAAACTAAGCAGCGTTTTCATGAAAAACTTGACAACCTGATATGTGCAGAAACAACAGTGTAGTGATACGGAATAGTTTTTGCACTTGTCTGTTCATGCAGTAGAGCTTATTATGACATAAAAAAGGAAAGAAAATCTCTGCAGCTACTGCTGCATCTTTACAGCAGAGACCAAACAGAATTCACCAGGGACATAAAAGTTTTTCTTTTTCCTTTTTCATGCCTCTTTCAGTTTCTGTGTTTCTTTCCCAGAAACTCAGGAATCTTTTCCCTCAAACATCCTCCATTATTTATTCTTGGCCGCACCGTTAGCTGTATCATCATGAAATTTTTTCCCCCCTCCTCTTTCTCCCTTACCTCGAACTGGGTGCCGATTCAAACAAGGGACTGTGTCGTTAATTGGGGGAGCGGTGTTTGTGTGGGCCCTAAACATCGCAGGAATCATTCAACTCAGCTGAATATATTTTTCAAATGCATTTGACATTCTCGTATCAGTGCACATAGAAATGCCTGTTGAAGTTGATCAAGGGGTGGTAACGGAAAAGTCTGTAAAGCACGGCACGCTGACAAGTTCAAGCTGCAGCGACTGCTGGGAGAGAAAAGCTGAAAAACAAATTCACGGGGTGAGTGCAGAAGGCTCCAGCTCCAGTTGTAGAAATCTCACCAGAGTCTGCTCAGGCTGTGCAGCATCATGTTCACTGGTCGGGTCGTGGTTTGGCTGTATGTTCTTATATTTAAGGAAAAGAAAAAAAAGAGATTGTTCTGCCGTAGAACATAGGTAAGACTGAGCTGCATTCTGCAGGCTAAAGCTTCAAGCTGTGACTTCCAACTGAGATGTTGATTTTTAAAAAAAAAAACAAACAGCAGTTGTAATTTGTGTTGAAGTCATCCATCTGATGCAGTGATGCAACCCCTCCATAATTGTGAAATGAAACGGTTTGTGTTTTGTAAAACAAATCCGCAACAGGTTTAATGAGCACGTCTGCCAGCTGCACATTCCAGGATTATTCAGCTGCTGCTTCTTACTTAATTCTTTAATTCTCTCTTTCTCTTTAATTCTGCCAGGTTTGTGATCATAATTTTTTAATGTTTGTCTCAAACAGTCTGCTCCTGTTAGCATTTTCAGCTCTACGTAGCATCATTGACAGGCCATTGGTTTTTTCTTTCTTTTTACAATTTTCAGTAAATATTTTATTTTCTATTTCCAATGTATTTAAAGAAATTAATTCCTATGAAAATTGCTTCTCTCATTGGACAGAATGAAATGTAAATACAAAAGAGTACAATCTTCCCTGTGGCACATAAAAGAATATATTAAAAATGACGTTCATTTGCTTTGCTCTGCCCTCCCCTGCAATGAATCTTTGCCCTCTGGGGGCCCCACCCCTCACGTTTGAATCCACTATGTACAGTAATCATTTTGTAATGTTTGTTATGATTGTTAGTCACATTTCCTCTCATTATCTCAACTGATTTAAATTTTTTTTAAAAATTGAACAAAACAAGGCTATAAAAGGCAGAATTTTATTTTCTACTATATGTCACATCCTTTTTTGTTGACAGTGTATGTGTAGAAAAGTCAAACAAATGGGCAGTCACAAACATAAATAATATTAAATTATAATCCAAAATGTAATAGCCTAAAATATAGCTAAGTTAAAAAAAACCTTCTTACTTCTGTAACCAAAGGTTTACTCCACTGCTACTTTAGGGACTCTCTCATTTCGCTGCTCAATTGATGCAAGATCAATATTGGTCAACATGATTGCATCCAATTTGGTCATACATTTCCAGGCAGCCTTTAAAAATTTCTACCAGCGATCCCAGTTTTGAACTCGTATGTATATTTCTTCCAACACGTCCTCATTAATTTTTCCTTTGAGTCAAGGCATATTTTCGAGCCAAGGTCCCAAGATGGCTTATTTAACGTAGTTCAACAGCTCTCAAAACCCTGTTGTAAGTGTCTCTGGGTGAATACCATCTAACTCTGCCTCACTGAGATTGACAAGCACAAAACACAAGTGAAAATGGGTTATATAGTGGGTAAAAAAAAGTATCCATGGCAACAAAGAGAAAGGCTTTGATAGCTCTGGTCATGTAATGATAAAGATAGAGACAGACTGCAAGGATTTATGTGGCAGCCGTGCACTGTATGTATAAGGATGCTGTTGGAATCCTCACAGTCCAGGAAAGAACCTTCAAATGAATGAAAACAAACTTAAACATTTTTTTTTCAGCTGGTCAGTTATGTCTGTGT